GTGAATGTCTGTCAATGAACAATCCTGTAGCTTTTGCTCTAGTGAGGTTTCTGGAGTTTCAGTATTTGTAGTGCGTGATTCGAGTCCGTTTATGAAGTCGCGATCCCGATGTTTAGAAGACGATATCATGATCATAAGCTTAGATTAATGAGTTTAGTTTCCATCCATCATAATAACAGCAACACCAAAAGCACTTGTGTATAAAATCTGTAAACAAATACAATAGGTCACAATTTGTTTTGCTTTGATCAGTRCGAGTGGCTTCGATCACACGTTCTATTTGTTCAGACGGTACATTTGATCAAACGTTCGAAACCCATGYCATTGCTATGAAACCATCATAACTTAGATTCTATGGGTCATTCCAAGAGGGTCCAAGGTAATTCGATAGATCATTCGAGCCGCCATCACAGAATGTATAGCTCAACACAGGAAGCCCATAACCAAATACGCAATATATGACGTCATCGACGGTCTTCGCAGCGAGTAAATCAAGCAAATCTGTTTGCTGTACACGTAGTTACATGATATAAGCATGAGAAATATCAACTATTTAAACAAACCATTCAGAATCTTTGAAGACTTCAGAGCTGAACACTGGAACAGAAGTACAGATAAGAGACGAGTACTGTTGGACAGACAGACAGTTTTACAACCAGCGTTTTTTTTTTTTTGTTTTTTTTTTGTTTTTCTTTTTGCTGATGTCAGTCAGTGTTTAATAAAAATCCCTGACTCTGTCTTTAAAAGAAATTACAAACATCGAAAGCCCGGAGAACAAATAAAATAATACAGAGATATACAGCTGATAACGGAATGAATGCAAAAATTAACTGTGACAATGATATCCTTTACCAATAGGGGCAAATCGTGAAGGCTGTACTTTGACTCAGCGAAAAAATAAACACAGGTATCCCAAGATTATTGTCTGTCAGTTCAAGGTCATAGTGTCTAATTAAACTACGACAATTTGCAATTACGTTCCCAACATTTTAGCCTCTTTTCTGAAATTTGTCAGCAAAAATTGCAAATCATATTTTGCTTGAATATTAAATAAATATATGTTATTTATACTGACCTATACGAAAAACGATTATGTACACCGTAAAAAAAATAGGTGAAACAACTTACTGACTTTTCGGAGTAAAACGAAAAACGATGTCTTCACGGACCAAGGGCGACAGACCTACATAAATCTTGTAAATACTTTTTAAAGAACTTATCTTTTCGCTACATTTTTGCATTTTTTTCGCTAAAATGCCATTCAGGACATCGTATACCGTGCAGATCGTGAAAAGCCGTTCCACATGCAAGCCAATCATAGCGCGCAGCTCCTATAGGATACCGGACCGACAGCGGTTTAAATTTACTATACCGTCTACTACTACTACTGTGAATTTTCAGGTATTCGAATCTTCTTGCCAAAGGAGAAAATATATCAGAAAAACAAGATGAATTACTATTGTCTTAGTTTTCATTGAAATATTAATGTTCCCGCACCTTGATCGCACAAGGCGTTGATTTAAATCTATACATCCCTAAAAACAAATACGGCGTTCACTAAGGATAAAATTTGCTGCATTCACTTAATTTAAGTAATTTTTTAGAAGCATGAAGAAAACTGAGTCTTTTTTCTCCGAATTGTCAGGAGGAAATGCGGAGGCGTGACCTTGACTATTCATTTCAACTTGTATTTCATTTCTCATGACAAAAAAAGGCAAATAACATATTTTGAAGGAATAATATAAAGCAATCATAGATGTGAACTTAAAATAGCGATAACACGAAGAAGAAGAAGGATTTTTAAATGTTCTTTAAAGAACAACAAGAACTCCATTGAAAAAGAAGAAAGATATTAAAACCAAATAAATGAAATAGAAAAAAAGAAATGAAACTAAAAAAAAMCCGAAAATCTTTCTTGAGCTAAAAACAACATACAAACACCATTATCTGACAACAAACACATAGAATACAATACCACTAAGCTTGAATTCGATATCATTTCTTTAGGCTAGATAGATATCATAAAATCTCTCACTCGGTTATAAATTAAGCTTTAATAGCTGTTAAGTACTACAAGAGGGCATAAAATCAAATTACCGTAGTGGCCATTACTTAAAAGCAAAGCATTTTTGAGATACATTAGATTGTTGTCGTTATTTTTGAAAAACTACTTCTCTGTTGAACGCTAAGCTGTTTTTAAGGGTCAAATTGTGTTGTAAACTGAGGTGCTAGTTATAACGGCCGGCCGGATGGAAAAAAAGGATTACTGTATCATAGCCAGTAAGATTTTATTTGCTTTTGGTAAACATAACGCGAAAAACACACTTATCGTGTCAGCTTTCAAGCATGCTTGCTTGAACTTTTAACAAAGTAGCACTTGACAGTATTTTAAAGGGTGAAAATGTCTTTGAAAGCGAGAAGAATGAAAATGTAAACGAATGCAAACAGTGTGAAGAAGGGAAATCGTCGAATGAATCAAAATATGAATGAAAAATAAAAGATTCAAGAATGAATCATTACTCTAGGTGTGAAAATAAGAAATCGGCAAATGATAAATGAGCGATGAAAAGCAGATAAATTCAATGAATGAAAAAAAAAGTATAAAAATAGGTCCGGAAATGAATATTGTATGCTACTTATCACATTCCATCAGCTAAAATATGAAAATATACTTTTCGAAAAACTACGAGATAAAATATCGCAATTTCTCAAGAAAATATCCGCGTCAGTACATATATGGCGATGGCTATGATTTCCCGTGATGTTTGGGCAATTAGTTAAAAATTTGATCATTACATAAATAAAAGTGGGAAACGTGGGAAAAGTGGGATGAATGAATGATTGCGTAAAAGATCACTAACTCCTTACAGATGAATCATTTCTTCAGCTAAATGAGGCGATATTTATACAGCTGTTTAAAAAAAGGGTTGAAGGCAAGCATGAGTGAAAATGAAGTTGACTGCGGAATTATGGGTGCATCATTGGATGAGCAAGGTAGTTAGTGATTGTAGTGTATTCGTTGCAACGGTCTGTCCGTTATACCGGGGGTGTCCATTAAATCAGTTAGTCCGTTATATCGAGGGTATTCGTAAGGTAATTATAACTTTAATTGAATACTCCTTTCCAGAGGAATTACCAAAAATATTGACTCCCTGTTGAGCGGTCATTCGCGATTACGGACTCTTAATCACGGCCCAAAAGGTGTCTGTTATGAAGAGAGTTCACCGTACATACTGGACCACTATCCTAATGCTTTAGTATTTCCTTAATAAGCAAAATAATCGTTTGTAACGTAAAAAGCCTCTTTTGAATTCACAAACTACAAAAACACCTACAAAGATTAAGAATTTAAGAGGATGAACGGTCAAGAAATGAACTGTGGCGAGTATTTTTAACGCTTAAATTCTTAACTCTTCCGTTTCCTGACTTTGGTTCCTAACTTTGGCTCCACATTTGCTTTAAATACTCGCTTAGTCGAAAAATTTAATACCTACAATCGATATTGTAAATCTCAGTACACAGAGAATTAAATGGGATTAAAAGAAAAAAGGCAAAAGCTAATCTTTTTTAGTTAAATTCCGAATTGCATCATGTATTTTCCTGCGTTTGTATATTTTTTTCTTACGCGCGTTTTGATTGGTCAATATAAGAGTGCTTTATTACTTCACAGGAAATGACTTTTCCATACCGGGAGGTCTGGGAACAAGTCTCCCATGGATAGAGTCGGCTAGTAGTTCGTTTATTTTGACTATAAAACAAACAAAAAATCGACAACGAACACATTAAATAACAATGAACTCCTAACCCTAGTAATTAACCTAGCATTAGATGTAAAAATATTATATTATATAAGTCATATTGAATTGATAGTTTTTGGGATTGTCGTTCAGGCTAATACCGTGTCGATTGTCAAAATACAAACTCATTTCTGTAATGACTTTTTGACCAAATTCTTTTGTAGTTTTTATTATTTTCACTAGTTCTATTTGAACGTCTTTGAAAAGAGTTATATCAGTGGAATAAAACTTGGACTTCTATTGTAAATTGATTGCTGTCCTTCAATGTCTTTGCTTAAAAAATAATTTTCACATCTCAAACCGCATACCGAATGGACGTCAACGCGAAACGAACTGCGACAACAGTTGAAGAAAAAATCTCAATTCACACATGAAAATCAAGCAAATACACTTATGCAAAGAAGAGAGTTAGAAAATACGTAATTCATTTTACTACTTATGTAATCAATATGAAGTAATGACGGACTTGAGAAAAAATGTTTAAAACCGAATTGAGTTCTTTGCGTCGTTTATCAATCAATGACAAGTGCATGAGAATCAGCCAAATCATAGTCCAAAGGATAATGGAAAACGAGATTCAGACATTTTAAGTGGAGAACTTAAACTTTTTGATGTTTAAGTAATGATTTTATACCCCACATTGTCTCAGTCATGTCGGTCGAACTGAGGTTTTATCGTTAATGCATACTCGAGAGGACCAGTACGTGTTACGAACATTATATTCTTAAAAGCTTTACACCAACACTTCACCGACTTAGAACTTCAAATACACTCGCACGTAGACATTGAGAATACTAGATAGCTAATAGATGGGTAGAAGTTTGGAAATACCCCAAAAAAACCGTTGTGAAAGCCGCCAAATAGAACCAGGCGAGACAACAAACATTTAAAAACTAAATCCCTAATGTTCTTTTCCCTCCAGCATCGCACAAATTGATTTTTTTTCATTTCTAAAAGTAATTGTTAACTTTTTTAAAAAAAGGCAAACTAAAGCACATCTAAGTGAGACCCTGGGGATAGCAATTTAGAATCCTAAATAGCGAACCGGCAATGATAATGGTAGCTGTTTCCACTAATATTTCTCTCGTAACTGCTACCTATATATTCCGACTCCGTAATAGAGGCAAGTGTCCGCAAGGCGCTAAAATTAGACACCACTTTCTAAGAACTTTGTTTAAATCGAAGAGGAATAATATATGAGAGTTTACAACATTTATCAGGGCTTTTTTAATTCCATTTAATTAAGATAATTAATTATTATGTGCGATAGAGAAATACGAGTTTAGCGACGAATCCACCAGCACCGCAAGGCCGTGAAATCATGCTAGACTCAAACTTGACTTAGCAGTTCACATAATGAGTTTACAATCAGCAAATCAAATGAAATTTTGCTACTTTACAATCATATATGTCTTGGTTATACAGTTATATTATTCACAAAGGGCTAGCCCGCTTTCAAATATAAACTTAATATGAAATTTCAAGAGATTTCATACAAAATCAGGGAAAATAACACCAAAATTTATGGAAACGGTAACTTTAATTTTAAATTACAGCATATTAACAAGTTTTTTTCATGAACATTTTCACATTAGTATACTAATCACTTATTCAGTGCTAATCTCTTTTGTTTCTTTGTATTTCAAGTAATAGTGCGATGGAATTGCGGGAATAGAAGTGCTGCTTGGAAAGCGAGCTAGCCAGCTTAACTGTTCGATTTTCTCTTGTACAAACAAAGCCTCAATATTTTAAGATTTGGACCGTTTTAAGCTATAGAGCAATACATTTAATTCCAACCTATAGACAAGATTACGTCCATAGCACACAAACATTCATAGCTCAAGAATCAAAAATATTGCTAATAGCGTTTGTCCTAGGAAAGATAATATCAAGGTGCAAATGGCGTGAACTACACCCCCTGATGACGTTGCACACCTTATTTAGAATACATATTATACATAAAATCTTTGTTGCACGTACTACTGGGTTTTATTATTGACATTGTTTTGAGCGACCTGCACTTTCTTAAAAAAAAAACTTATATCTAATGTCATGATTACTTTATAATCAGAACATATAAATCTGTTATAGTACACCACCACCATCATCATCATCATCATCATCATCATCATCATCATCATTATCATCTTAATCAAAGTATCTTCATATATCCCGGATTTATTCTGCTATTATAATCATCATCATAGACTCGTGTAGAGAGTAGCTGCAGTGAAATGGAAGTTGAATACTGATTTAAGCTAGTTCCTTCAGTAATGCGAGAAAAAAACATCGACAGAAGTGACAAACTTCATTATTCCGACACTACAGTCTTGGTTCAGTAATCCAGTACTTGTCAAACAAACAGAGCGGAACGCGGCTTCTTCGATAGACTGCCGCCATTAAAAGAAACGGACATCAGTTTTGTTGTCTTGGTTGATGTTAGTTTTGTTTTATTTGTTTTTTGACTGAGAAAAAAGATCGATGATATCTTTATGCGCATGACGCACTAGTCCAGGAGAATAGAAACATCTCCTTATCTAAATATCAGCCGTTTGGCTAAGTAATCCAGTGCTATACAATGGAGAAAAACGTCAGCTTCTTGAATTGGTTTTGACTTGTTTGACTAACAACAATATAACGTATTGTTTCAGTTGTTTTCTGCTTTTCGTTAGTGTTCTAAAGAGACTAACTGAATGACGTCTCACGAATAGAACAGAAAATTCCCCACAAGGATCTCGATTCCAAAATGCATGTATATAGTAATAATAATAGTCTCTTTATTAGCCCCCTTTTGAACGCAAATTAGTTCAGTATTTGTAGTTCTATATTCGTTGTGTTCGTTGACTTCAAAGCCTGTTGTTTTCGTTTCCAGCGTCGTAAAATCTCTCTTAATGCGCTGCGGAATTTGGAGCTAAACATGAATGTGATGATGGGATTCACCGCCGCACTCGCATGAGCCGCGAACATCCCAATTTCAAACAGAAAAGTACATTCACTTATCGATCCTAGTTGGAACATGGCCATAAAAGTAAACAAATTCAAAGGCGCCCAACAAACAACGAATGATAGCACGATAGCGAAGGAAAGATAGAGGATCTTCCGYTGKCKCAAAGATCTCTGAACGTTTTGGGGATCCGACAAAGAGATTCCGATCCTTCGCTGCTGACGCCGTAAGCTGAAGAAAATTATGGTATACACAACACTTATGAAGCACATAGGGCCGATTGCAAGACACAGGGACAGTGCTATGAAGTACATATGTTTTGTGTGCTGGTCCCAGTCAGTGATTGTACATTCTGGGTAGGGTCCKTYGTCGTGACTTAGCGAAAATTTCTCGATATACACCCCATGAACGCACACACCAATGACCCATGTCAGACTCACTAGAATGGCACATGTTCTATGCTGTAGWGTGTAGCCACGGAATGGCTGAGATATAGCGATAAATCTGTCAATCGTGATGAGCATGATTGTCAATACAGACACTACAACCGCTAGATCTTGAAGGAACGCTGTGCACTTGCACATAACAACAGCATAAGTACCGCTAAACAACCATCTTTCTTGTCCTATCTGGAAACCAATGATGTGTTTAGGAATCGCAATGACAGTGAAGAGAATGTCAGCGATAGCTAGGTTAGCAATCAAAATATCCGTGGTGTTTTTCATCCTTCGGCTCGTCTTGAAAACGAAGAGTATMAGAGTGTTCCCTGTAAGAGCTAACAGTCCTATAACCGAGGAGACGAATACCATAACAACATTTTCCCACTTCGARTCCACAGTGCCYAMGAGACAAAAACTGTAGTTTGAACTGTTGGCGCTCATGATTCGKYCTCTGRTGGTCAACAAGCGCAGACGATGGAGGTGGAATACTACATTGATTGGCCTAACGGTATTAGTATATATGCTGGCAGGCAAGGCTTGCTATTGGCTAGTTTAAAACCATAATTCCAAAGAGCTTAAATCAGACATAAGAGAGCTAAACTGATATCTTAAAATGCTTTGAAGTCTTGAGATACACTAGAATTCATTTCCACTTCTTGGCCCAGATAAGTGAATCACGTTTATAATCACCATCAGGGGGAGTAATATCWCATAATCATGTTCCAAACAACAACAAGTCGTCAAATATTCGTGATTCCACGCACTCAAAATACTCTCTTTTATCAACAAAGATCTTCTTGCACCTGTTGGGACTGCCARTAATATACTGACATATGTGAGTGACATAAAGGTCCTCAAACCCTAATTCATATTTCGTAATAGAAAGTCCATAAAAAATACAAATTCATATCAATTAACATCATACTGTTCGGATTAATATGAAAGTTTCGGTCGCATTAAAGGTGTCCCAGAATAATACACTGCATATTCGAAGTACAGGGGTTATCGACTGAAAACTGAACTCATAGCAGCTATGGTGCCTTAAATATGTATAGGTTTGCAGCGGACGATATATCTGTCATATAGATGTATCCGCGAAAACGCATAATTGATTGGGTTGGCTTTCGTTAGCCCGTTGAGAAAACATCTTTTAGTAGGTAACAGCCGAGTGTCAACAAAACACAACAGTACGAATAAAATCTGCTTATAACACAATTGGTATTTTTACCAATCGATCSATCATCTCGCTGATTGCTTTTAAGTTTAGCCCGCGAAAATAATTCAATTTGGTTTTTGGTCCTCAGTGGTACTTTAGCAAACAAGGGTCTAACTATACCTTGAGGGTGTAAGGAAATTTTCGCGGGTTAAGAATTAAATAATTTTTGTTACTACGTGGTTCAAATCGCTTTAAGCATAATAGGGTTTTAACTTTAGTTTATATACACCCTCAGAGAAAAAAAATACTTTGTATCTGTTATGTCATAAGAAACTACCACATAACAAAATGAATGTAATACCAAATATATTTATATTCCTAGTAGATATACTCAATATAGAATAGAATTAGACAGTTTGAGCAATATTTCGGTTTTTATTAGAGAACCATTACCAGGCTAAGAGAATAAATAACCTTATGATGGTTTTGTAATAAAACAAAAAAATA